ACATGATACTGCAAGAATAACTTTTAGAACCTGTATTTGATTTGTGTGTGAACTACTTGAAGTATCAAATCATAACTGGGTAATTTGTGTCGACAAGAACTGAATGGTTCTGTGGACTTACTTTCTGTACGTGTCTAATAAGCATTTGTTCTTTCTTGCAGGGCTATGGAAAAGCAGATCATTCGGTGACTGTAGAGATACTGAAAAAAGTGTATACAGATTATGAAATTACATGGTCAGATGACAAGAAATAAATCGGCTACTTATGAACACAACGAGCAGTTCAAAACTGGCAATGCTGTGAGCTGTACTTTGATAAATAAAATTGAATGTCTTCTATGTATTTTACCATAAATCTGGAGTAACCGGACTCTGCTGTAATTAATAATATGGTTAGTAATCCCCAGATATATCTTATTTTTCAGATCATTCCTTTGTGCAGAATCGGCAGTTCTAAGCCTTTTTCCTCTCCTTTTGCCATGCCATCTAATTAAACAGTGCCACATCATCTTACCTCCAGTTTGTTTTCATCCAATCCTGTGTTGCTGATATATTGTAGGATACATCAGGATTTTGCCATCAACTTAAACACCACAGGACCAAACCCGTTCCCTGGTCTTTTGACCGCAGTGTTTTCCATTTTCTTTATTTTCTGTTGCTCTTTAGGCTGTTCAACGTTCTCATCCACATTTACAAAAAAGGGGGGGAGGGTAGGGTTGACTGCCTTTTTCTTTATTTTCTGTTGCTCTTTAGGCTGTTCCAACGTTCTCATCCACATTTACAAAAATCGGGGGGGAGGGGAGGGTTGGGTTGACTGTTACAGTTCTTCACCAATGATCTAAATCTTCAATTTACTCCATGGTTTTGAAAATTCAGTATTTGTTCCACACAATGATCAAGATCTTTTGTGTTCCTGTAAGATCCTTCCCTATAGTAGACTGATGGCAATGTCAAATTCTGACAATACTTGTTTCATTCTGATTTCCCTATACTACTTTTATTCCCCATGAGTATAATGAGGCTTTTTCCTTTTTTTTATAGCAATAATTATCTTACAGTTAACTACCTCCCAGCCAGACCCGGTACACCTAGGCTGTGTCTGAATTAACTTACAGCACCTGCTTCTTCCCGTTGCGGCAGGATGTTGCCTTTCATTTGTTGTGAACTTACTTGCTACAATTTTCACTTTTTTGTTTCCTGGCAGTCTTCCTTTAATGCTGTTGTGGATTTCAAGGGAGTACCTTTTGTTATGCTTACATTGTTGACTTGCAGTCTTCAAGAGGTATTTGTATATAAATCCTGGTTCTTCCCTTTGCTGTGGTTCCTACTGCGCTTATCTGCCAGTATCTGGTGGTATACAGTGGGTTTTTTTCACTGTGCGTGTGACTCTTAAAGTACAAACAGTATGAAATTTGAGAAGCTTTAGTCCAGTTTCTATCACCAAAAAAAATCCTGCTGTTACTGCCTTATGACAGTAATTATCCATCTTGTGTCACCCTTCTGCATCTTTGTTTTAATTGGTTGGGCAGAGAGAGATTTCCTGTTCTCATCCTCAAACCTTTCAGTCCATTCCTTGTATGTCCATCCCAATAATCACCTGGGAGCAGGATCTCTTGAACCTGGTGCCGCAGGTCTCTTGGTTGGCACCTGCTTCCCCCCACATGCAGCCTGGACTTTCCCCTCCAGCGCCTCTATGTGCTTTTGCATCTGCTGTTTGTTTGTCTTTACGCTCTTGTGCAATAGTTGTCTGGCTGCACCACTTCAAATGCCACGATAACATTGATTGCAGGTTTGATTTTTCTTAACAAGATTTTGATTTCAGAACATGACTAAATGCCTGTGTACCTAGTAACCAAGAATAACATACAAATTGCAAGTTGCGCGCTTCCCACTTTGATTTTCCTCATGGGTTTTTTCCCCTAAGCTTTAGTAAAATAACTGTAACGGATGCCATTTAATTGGTGCCGGTATACAAAAGTGACTTTTTTAATAGCCTCATTTCCCGAAACTAGCAAATAGTCTTCAAAGGGAAGTCATCAGTTAAGGATAGCGCCTGTTAAAACAAACAAGCTTTTTAATTTCGTTTTCTGAGACATTTTATGACTGATTTTAATGCTTCTCTCCACCATACTTACAGGAAAGACATAATTTAGACAGGATTTCTTATTGTGATGACTCTTTTAAAAAGCGAGGGGATGGGGTGAGGGGGGAAAAAAAGGGGTGATGATTTGGAATGAGCTGATAAATTGAGCTACCAGCTGACATCTACCTTTGTTTCTTCATGCAAGAAATTGGGCCTGATGTAAGGGTTTATTGTGTCATCAAACAAATACTCTGAGGGTCCTCCCAATTCTGCTGTTTTTCTAGCACAATGTCATTTGGGGAAATGCTAATTTCCCTAGCTATTAAGTAATATGTACAAGTATTACAAGTGAGTGAAAGATTTTTATTCCAGGTCATGAAGAGAAGCAGGAAACTGGTCACTAGGGTGGTGACGATTTGGCAGGTAGAGAAAGCCTTAATGTAGATTAGGAAAACTGGTATTATTTGATGTTGAAACACAAGCAGAACCACCAGCCTACAAAACTGTTACATGCTGAGAGGAAGCAGAATTCATCTGCTGAATTTTAAGAATAGAATAGAATAGGATTCATCTGGAATTATGGAAATCCCAATGCTAATTTTGCTGATTTCACCTGAGAAAAACATCCTTTATTAACTCTCATCTGTAGTTCTGAAATGGGAACTTAATTATACTGTGTGGGGTTTCCTGTTTTGCAGGTGTGCAATCACTGTGAGATTGTGGCTCTGCTTAGCAGTCTTCACTTGAAAGTCCTAAAAAATCTGATTCTGTATTTGCACAAAACCAGAGCTATGTTTGAGCAATCCAAGAATAAAATGAGGATGCTGAGCGAAGGAGTAGTATATTAAACCCAAGACAGTGAGTTTGGTTGTGGAATATTTTCAAGAGGAAGCATTATGGTAGAAGATTGTAAGTACCGCCTTTATTAATCAAAAAATACATGAGATACTTGTTCTTAACCATATTCATTGTCATAGTGGTCAATATTTCTTATTACTTCAGGTACTGTTCTCTGAAACAGCACTAGACCTAGCAGGTGTAGAACAAGCTATTCAGTCACTATGCACAAGCCACGATTTGTCTTACAGCTGAGGTTTGAAAAATGGCAAGTGGTCGTTTCCAACTTCCCAGTTTTGACAAAAAAGAACGGTTAACAGTACTTTATTGATCTGCCAAAGCAAAAACTTCCTTTTGTTCCTCAATCTGTAGTCAGCAGTTATCTAGCATCAGTAAGTTTCAGAGTTGATGCAGAAAAATTCCCAAGTGCAGTCACAGCCATGGCACAACTGCTTTTTTTTCCTCTCTCTCCTATAAAAGAGCAACTTCAGTAGTTTCCAAAGTATCCCTTTAAATTAGTCTACTTAGAATTGTGTTTCAAACAATAGTAGTTGTTAAGGTTCTTCTGTAAAGTACAGGAAATCCTCTATGACTATCTTAATAGCAACACAGTCAAAATTGGAATCTTGCAGTTGACTTTCATAGCCTTCAATGACGGGAACTTCATGCAATAATTAAAGTGATCTAGGTCACTGCTGTAATAAGTTTCTTTCCATCCCCTCAGACTATTGTCCTTTCTCCCCCCCACGGATTATCCTTGCATCCGGTTTACTGCAGTGGTTGACTGTCTCTAAGTTTATGTTTCTGCAAGAGCACCCAATAAAGCAGTGCATAAGCAGTAGCTTTGATGTACCTGTTAAGAGTTACGTAATAGCTTTTTGTCCAGTTTTGGTTAAGACAAAACATGCAATGGATTTTTTTGTGTGAATTGTTGGTGACACCAAGCGCTCAGGACCTGGTTTTGTAGTTCTTTGGGTTTGTTTGCATTTTTGGTAAGGTAATTTCTTCAGCAACATCACTATCCTCAGCCTAGGACACAGGAGTGACTTGTACACTGAACGCTTGCTGCCCTGCCAAACTGCTGAAAAGACTGAAGAGGTGCGAGCGTTCAGTAGTACCCCCAGCAGTATCCCCCTCCAAGTTTTGAAAACGGGTCGTAGTGTATGGGCAGTTTAATTTCTGGAAAAATCTTGTAAAAAAAAAAAAAAAATCCAACAAAAAACCCCCAACCCAGTACAGCACTCTAGTTGGCAATCCGCTACAAAAGCGCGGTTTATCTCCTTTCCCACTTGTCACCTAAAGGTCAGTTCTGTCATCCTCCAGTTTCCTGGACTGCATTTGTAGGTTTTTAGGTTGTTCGTTTTAAGGAACTTCTCCTGTGTAGAATCTTCTTTCAACTCAGCTTCTAAAACAGAAATCAGTTTTATTCATTTCTAAAAACAGTATGGCTATTTCCAATTACTTGCTGAAATTTTCTTAGGGTGATATGTCAAAATCTGAATGTGCAAATTTACAGACCACACTAGTAAATAGTCTCTGGCACACCTTTTCAAAGGCTTGAATAAAAGTCACGTGTGCATTACATATGGAAACATTACAAAGACTTGTGAGATTGCTAGCAGAATAGAACAGAAGTGATAATTCATTTCTAAAAACAGTATGGCTATTTCCAATTACTTGCTGAAATTTTCTTAGGGTGATATGTCAAAATCTGAATGTGCAAATTTACAGACCACACTAGTAAATAGTCTCTGGCACACCTTTTCAAAGGCTTGAATAAAAGTCACGTATGCATTACATATGGAAACATACAAAGACTTGCGAGATTGCTAGCAGAATAAAAGTGATAAATATCATCACATCTCCCTCTGGTGGCAAAGCAGCAGAGCACACAGGTATGCGGTCGATTCCAAAATCTGTCGCTGCAGTTAAAGCGTATCCGAGTTGGGAGCCTAACCCTCGAGAGCCACCTCCTGCGCTGCACTGGGATGCTACATGATCTCCTTCAGGCTGCGCTCAGCAGCCGCTCCTGTGACGTACAGTTCTGGCACTGCCAAAGAATGAGAGGGGGGGACTGGGGACAGTGACTTGCTTCATTTTTAAATACATGTAAATGACAATGAATGGGCATAAACGGATGCCAGTTTAAACAGAACTCTATTTTTCTATGCAAAAGCAGGATCAGAAGAGTCCTTCACTTCTAGTCAGACATCAGAATTTGTCAAACATTTCAGTAACGAGCATCCTTAATTTGTCAAACCAGAATAACTCAACAGAGGAAAAAGCAAAGAGATGCGAGGATCAAAACATCTTGTCTTAAGGTACTTTTGAAGGACCAGTGGTTGAATTTTAAGTGGAATCTTTAAAGGCCATTTCCATAATACATCGCTGCAGTCCTTTATCAATTATTTTAACTATGCTGGTCCTAAACACATTTCTCTCTACAGTGAATTTCTCAAAGAGGTGGATACCACCGCCAACCCCAAAATAATGTGCTTTGCTTGCCAAATACACACGGCCGTTTTTATCCAAGAGCCGAGCCAGTGTATCATGCAAAGCACCGTAGTAGTCAGGATTATAGATGGTCTCAGATGTGAGAATTATATCATACTTTGAAAAGGGTTTGCTGCTGCTTAACAGGAGCTGGCTGACTTCAGACCACTCTCCAGAAAAAAACCTGCATTTGGTGAGCGCATCAGGTAAGCGCTCCGCTTTCTTGGGCCTCTTCGAAGGAGGCTTGCTAGCTTTTCTGTCGTCTCCGCTGCCCATCCTATTGCCTTCACTTCTACAGTTAGCCACCGCATTAGGCAAGGTTATTTCATCAATCACTGTGCCGTTGTAGTCCTGAAAATGGACTTTGCCAGCTTTACCCCGTAAAGCAACTATTCCCAGCAGTCCAGCCCCGCAGCCGAGGTCCAATACCGTCTTGTTGGTAAACTGTATTTCAGCCTCGGAAAAGTAGTCTATGAGGTCAAAGGTGCATTCCCAGATTTTCAGTCCTCCCTCATAGACTCCCGGGATGAGGTCGGAGTGAGAAGCAACACTTTTAGACACGATGCCTTCTCCATCGGTGCCATCCAAACACATCATTTCCACTACAGACATATTTATGTAATACAGGTCTGATACTGTTTCCATGACTTTATTTTCCAATACTTTGTCAAGATCTTCAGGAATATCGTGCTCCTTGGCAGCTTTACAGCAGAACTCTTTCTTCGGTGGTGTCTCATCTTGGTGCTTATCGGTACCCAGCCTTGGGCCGGAGCCTGCTGCGGCCTCAGCAGTTTGCTTGCTCTTTCCTGTGGATTCCTGCTCGTGTCTCGGAGAGCAGAGCTGTAAGTCCGTCTTATCGTGAGTGTCTGGTTCATTGGTCTCATTTTCATCAATAGAAAAATTGAATCGAAAAGCCATTTTCAGGAATAAAAGTTAAAAAAAAAAAGTCAGCTTAATTTATTACAGCCAGAAACACTCATCTAAGAGCAATACTGATACAAGGACTTCTTTTTCCTTCTGGTTTTTTTAATACAGGATATTTTTATGTAGTTATCGCTATGGGGAAGAGCGCTTTGCTGGTAGAATATCAGGTGTTTTGCCCATGAATCAGGTGAATTACTTCTGGAAAGAAATAGTTTTCCGTATCAGTAAACTGCCACATATTAGCATAAACAAACCGTCTAATTGCAGCACCCTAATTTTCATTAAAAACCTCCTAAACGTTTAAATTTCTGAAAAGAGCGTTACAAGTGACCACATCTCTCACGTAATGTAGGTATATGCAGGGAAACTCGGGTAGCGGCTTATTCTGGCAAAACCCGCGTTTCCGGTTTAGCTGTCTGAGGGGAGGGAAAAAAAACCATGCAATGCTGCACAAAGCGTGTTCTTGACGTCACGTACGACTGCTCCTGCAGCTGCCCAGCGGCGTTTTCCTTGCTCTGATTTAGTTACTACCGCGAAGCTTCTCATCCGCGCGGTTCCCCCCCCCCCCAAACTTTATCCCCGCCCCTCTGAATTTCAGGCACCCACAAACAGC